CAATTTAACCTCATCCTGTTCATCGTTTTTAATTACGATCTCAATTTTGGCAATGCGATTAAACGTTACAGAAGCGTCGATATCTGATCGTACTGAGGGGGCGGGGGTTAAAAATTGATAAAGTTTCCACTAACTGAAGGTTTTTAGTGGGCACTCTCCCACACTGGTCCACTCAGTCCATATGTACTGCGCTTAATGACTTGTATCGCTCCTTTTCAACAAATGGAAAATGGCGCGTAATTCGTCAAATACAATATCGAGCTGCATTTCACGGAGTATCAACAGTCGATGTTACCCTCTTCCATTCAAATAGCACTTCCTCCTTTTCACTTCTTCCTACATCATCTCACAAATTTCCAAGTGTCTCATAAACTCTTGGCTTCAAAACAGTTGTACAAACAGACTCAGAGCTACTTTAGGCTCAAGGACAAATTTCTTCAATGAAATAACATGCATTCAGTAATAAAATCTATGTTATTTCAAGCTATTGTCTCAAATTCCAATAGCTATCTTAAAGATAAGATAAAGTTATTTCTTTATTTGTAAGAAAAGCCATAATTATGGGAAATCTATGCTGTAAAACCTTCAAGGATGAATGCTAAGCAAATTCCACATTAGTCCTTGTCCTAAATACAATTTCATTCTATTTCTCACAAAAAACGCATTGTAAATAAACTTTAGTAAAACCAGTCTAATGAGATACGCGTTTTATGCAAATTTCCCTCAGTCAAAGGCAAGTTTTAGAAATCGCTCCATCCTTAGAGCATGGGAATTATTTACCTCGGACACGAAGTAACTAAATCCGTGAATAAGCCGCAGTGAATCATATAAAGATGCAGCTCGTTGCAGAAAAATGCAAATAGGTTCTAGAAGGGTCCTCAACTATAAAGTATCCTCATAATTAACTTTGGTTGCGTCCAGAGTAGGGAGAAGACAGAAGGACTAGAGATGGAAATTTACTCTAAGCCGCTAGTGATTGTGTGTACAAATAACGCTACACTCGATACGTACTTTCAAAAATGCTCTAGCACGAGAAATCTTTGAATTGATTTGATAACATTGTTGATTCCACTTATGAAAACAGATTACTCGATAATAATCATAAGGAAGAAAATGATGTCTCAAGATGATCTAATAGAATTGCAAGTACCTAAGCGTTTCACGACTTATATGGTCAGTATACTTCAAATGTGCTTATTTCCATCACATAATTTCTCCGTTTCTAATAAATTGACGCTATCACAACCATCACCTATTGCCATCAGATGTTTGTATTTCAATCTCAAGAGCTGTGTGGCAGTTTAGTCGCAAACGCTACCGTTACTGAACCGGTCTCATAGACATTTTTCTATATTGGCTTTCTCCATCTTTATTCCCGATTTCCCCATGCGAAAAGAAATCGGACTTCAGTGAATTTCACAGCCATTTGAAAATATCATGCCAAAAAAACCACGAAGGACGTTGTTTTGCTATTTAAATCTGTCGTGAGTAAAGATATTCTTGAAAATTTATCCTTATCCAAATGTTCCACCACAGAAATCCATTTTTAAATATTAAAGACATTTGAAGGAATTTTTTGGTGTGGATGAAATGAGCAATAAATATGACATCATTGGAATATGTGAGGAATCCAATGTTGGCATGGACGAAACGAAGAAAGTGCGGACGCAATGCTAATCACACTAGGAAGCAAATGAGGTCATGACTGCGGAGATACCTTAACCAATCAGCAGTCAATAGTCATGACAATACCAATGAAGCAAAATTGTATACAATGATTAAGCTCTCTCTATCTTCTAACACACAGCCCAAATAAACGTGTTCCACGAAAAAATTTCTGTTTTCTTCTTACTGCTGAGGTAGGGTAGCTAATCCAGGGATCAATTTCAAACAAAGAGAACTTGCCTCACAGATTACTGAGAGCAAGTCAAGGCTTATTAGTATAGCAATGGGCTACAAATATCATTGAAAAAGATATTAATTTGTATCAAATGGCATGCTTTACTTCGGGCTTCACAGAAGGGGGGGGGGGGGGAGGAGGGAACAGAAGAGTGATCCACGGATGTGAAGGAGACAGACACAAACTTAGGGAATAAGGCAAGTTGATTACTGTGAAATTGGTCGAACATGCATTATGATGGGACCATGGTACTTTGAAGTCAGAAGCCAACTGACGGTTTATTGACTATTTTACCGCACGAGTATACATGCCTAGGGTGCAATATATGGGGGTAAGTTAATCAAGCACCTCTAAAACAAGATATGCTCTAAAGAATATAAAATAATTGACTACTTCTTTTGATAATAGAACTGTTATTTTAGTTAGAGAATAGCCTACTTTTAATCAATAATTGTTATGGTATTTAACTTATTTTTGATATTTGGTTAATATCTCCAGTTAAGGCAAGAGAAAAGAAATGACGGTCACTAACAAAAAGATTACTCCTAAATAAACATCGTTAACTAGTTTATCAATTAACTTTAAGCAGAACACAGCTAAGTGAATGACCATCTAATCTTTGATCTTTGACATTTCTAAGCGCCTAGTAACTTGTGTTGAATGGATTTATTAACTCGGATGCTATGGAGCAAAGCAAACCGAAATAAACATTGTGTATGATAATATTTCGCTCAATATGCAATGACAACTAAGGTATAGAAGCCAGCATCTATGGATATGGAATATGCGATAAAAGAGAAAAAAATGTTCGTCAAAATGATTGACTTATCTGTGATACTCTTTTTGACTACTTAAATTCTCTTTTATTCAAACGAATTTATTTGCTTTGCTTTAGTGCTCTTCATACGATATAGGGTGAACAATAATTACGGTTATGTATTTCTAACTTTTGCAGTCGCTTTGGAAATATATATGTGACAGTTACAAACTTAAAGGCTGATTTAAATTGGAGTCAGAAATGGGTATCCATCTGTGCTTAAATAATACAAGACGATTGGGAATGAAACAGTAATCATATCAACAGTAAAGCGGAGGTTGGAAAGAATCAGGCGTTTACAGTGTTAAATAACATTAAGATTCTATTATATGACCTAAAAGAAGATAATAGTATCAATTAAAGAATTGAGAAATTAAGTCACAGGTTTCTATTCTATCATCGTCTACATTAAATAGCATTATTGATCGTAAATGTGCTAGCTTCAACGCCATTAAATGCGGACGTTAAACCAGGCGAATAATGATTTTATTAAGGTGAACTAAATAAAATAAAGTAAAAAAGTTGAAATTTAAAAGTGCAATTAGGGTAAAACATATTAAAGTACGTATAGCCACTAACTTCATTAATTGTATGCAATATGAACATTTTTGAATATATGTTAATTATATACAAAATTATTTTATATATGCACTCCAATTTAATTTGTTATTATAAGGCTTAATTTTTAATATTTAAAGAAAACTTTAAGAAGAATATGATGTGCATAAAACATTAACGAAGCCTGTTTCACCAAATCCCTCACCCTTCATTTGGCGGTGTCCCATTTCGAATCTATTGGGTGCACATAACTAGGCTTCATTATTCTTCTCGACACGGCAGTATCAGCAAAAAGCTTTCATTAATAATGGTATTTTCGCTAATTTTATGTTATATTTCTCTTAATTGATTTCGTTAGCTTAAAATATTGTTTACAATTTGATCTTATATCATCATCTAGGATGGCCGGTTAAAGGATAAAAACAGGCCCAAAAGCCCTCTTTCCGGATTTGCCTGTTTTGTTCAAGTTATTCGAGATAAACATCGTACCCTTCATCCTGATAAGAATATAATCTTCAGCGAATTTTCTAAAAAGTGTGCGGAGCTTTGGCGTGTAAGCTATCATTTTACGTCTTTTTTTAATTAGTCATTATAATTGTGAATTGCATGCTAGTTTCTTTGGTCATTTAGGTAATGCCCCCGAACAAGCGAGCTCCCTTTGATGAGATGTCAAAGATAGACACCAAGCGCTACAATCGAGAAATGGGAGAATATGTCCAACAGCAACAACTAACTCCTCAAAATTCGATGGGATCTGTTAATTCCCAATCCCTTAACCAATCTGGCTACGATGCTCCCCATCATTATCATCCTATTCGAGGGGGAGGTGTAAAGCGAGTGCGTCGTCTAAAGGATCCTGCTATGCCCAAACGGGCTCTCTCTGCTTTTTTCTTCTTCTGTGATCAACAGCGACCACAAATTCGTGCAGCCCACCCAGAATGGCGAGTTAGCGAGATCGCCAAAGAGCTAGGTCGTCTCTGGGATGAATGCAGTGACAAAGCGCCATTTGAACGCCAAGCTCAGAGTGATAAACTTCGTTATGAGGAGGTAAGTCATTATCTAATTATCAATACCCTTGATAGGATCTAGATTAGTTAGTAAGAGTAATTTTGCTCTTTTAATTTTAGCAAATGAGGCAATACAAAGCGGGGACATTCGTGTTGAACCCGAAGAGAATGAGAGAGGATCATGGGATGAACTCAATTAATGCATCGTCTTCCTCAGCTAATGCATCGGCATCTGCAAATTGCTTTGAGATTGAGGGAAGCAGAGAGGTTGACGAGATGGATGGTCAAGATTACGAAGATGAGGAAGACGAGGAAGAAGATTCTGAAGATGATGAATTTGAAGATGAAAATACAGCGCACATGGATCATTCTAGGAGAGTTGTGACTCATGAAGTAATGGGACTCGGTTCAGGTAATCTCTACTGATGGCAAATTTTTCATTAATCTCAAACAAACTTAAGTCAGATAGCTGTGCAACAAAATCCTATTGGATTATTTATTAAGTATGCTATATGAAAAATACCTAAAGGCGCTAATTTAAAATGAGGTAAATTTATAAATCGTATCAACGCCTCCCCTTATAGATTTTGCTGAGTCAGGTGATTAGAATTGAAGTTGTGAGCCTGACTTATTAACGGAAATCGCTTCTATAGAATTGGAGAACTGTTGTTTTATTAAATTAGTTCTACTTTTCCGCATAATTTTGCATGCAGGCGACCACCACTGAATACGTTTTTTCGCGAAAGGTAAATATAACTAATCTAGTGGAATAGTTAATAGTTCACTAGCTTTTAGGTAAATTAATGATAACGCCATTCAGTGTTACATCTATTTGTCTATCGCTGATTTAGCATCGTTCCACTTTTACTCATGACAGGACGGTCTTTCCTTGCGCCCACTCGGTTAAATGTGTTATTGTCGCACAATATGATATTAACGTTTGGTAAATCAGAGACAACTGTTACTTCTCAGAATTTCATGAACCACCTTCTTGACTTCCCTAATTCGCCTTCTCCTAATTACTGACCCAATTTCATACAAAGTGGCATTTCTATTGATTTCTCGTTAGTTGGTTGCAGATTTGATTCCAAGTGAAGTCTGTTTTTTGATATTGCGTAGATCTCTTTTAATCATTCGAAGGTTTTATAATATTTCGTATTGCTAACGTCAGTTAAGGTTTATGGTCTACAAACCGATGTCCAAACTAGAAGTATAAACACAATTTTTCGTTATTAGAGACAACATAGTATACTTCAATCCAAGTCATATGCAGTATGTTGAGATTCAAGGTTGATGAAAGCTCATTAAATACTAACAATAATAATAATGGGCAATAGGCATTAAATAAGGTAATAATTTCGTAAAAGAAAATACATAATTGTATTTCAGCTTGACACCTCCCATTTTGAAGCCTCACCTTGTAGAGCTTTTTTAAATTTGCTTAAGTCCTTTTTTAGCTCTGGTTTCCTTCGTGGTGACTTCTTCCCATTAATATAATTCCATCAGAGATTTCCCATCAAGTTTTGGGCACGGAGATATTCAGAGTTTCTCGAGTACAGCTTTAAGCTTTTCTATCTAGATCCCCCCCCTCCCCACCTTTGCGTAGTACATATCCTTCGAGTAGGTGCCTGGAATAGAACGCTGTGTTTGGCTTTGGTTTTAAAAGGTGATTTCAATCCGATTTTGAAACAAGTTTCGATTCATTGACAATTCTATAATATATCGCTTCCTTTTTTCTTTATTTATGCTCGTGGTGTTTCTTTAGCGAACTTTGATTCCACTTCATATTCATTTTTGAACTTCTTGTTGGTCCTGTCACCTTTGGGTGTCATTCTTATTTCTGGAATTTATTTCAGTTTTGACACATTTTTTCTAATGTCTTCGTTTTAAGCAATTCGTAAATATAAGGCATGTAAGGGCAAAATCGACAAAGTGCGATTCATTGCAAATTCAGGATTCAGTTCAGGTATTACAAAGAGTAGAAACTTTGTGTCACAAAATTTTGCCTGAAATTCTTCCACAGGAAATTTAATTTACCTAATTCTACTCGCCAGATTTCTGTTAATCCTTCTCACTTTCACACTTGATTTCCAATTTTCTTCTAATGTTGTATTATCACTTGTTTGACCATTTAGGTGACTCAACAATTGAAATCAATTCGACAAGTTCCTCGAAGACCCCTGTAGATTCACCGACAGTGGGTCATCCAGTCTTCATGTCCTTTGGTGCGAGAACGACAAAGTAAATGCAAATTATCGAAGATCTTTTAACGAATAGTTAGGAGCAAAATATAGTTTCGTTTAACTTATTTTTTTGGATTTGTATTGCGGTAAATTAAGGTTTGGTGTCTTTCTTTTTCAACCAGTCTGACTTCTGTCTAGCAGAGCATCCTGTCACTTTTCAAGCCCTTTGACAAAAGTGATTTTTTTTGTTTTTGGATCTAAATGAAATTCATGAATGTGTAGAAAAAGAGAATCTGTTGATAGCTTGGTTTCAGTTTTCTGTCGATAAAACTTAGAAAAGCGTTCTTACAGCATTACAAAAATTTCCATCTGTTTCTTCAGAAAGGTTCTTTCTTCAGCATAATTTCAAATTCATTAATATTCAATGGCACTTTACTAACGATTTAAAAATTGGGTTCTTCTTAACCACCTCACTAACTTTTGCTATCTTGAAGCTGATATCTCAGTTGAGGCTGGATTCACTTTTTAATAATAATGGAAAGGAAATAAAAAAAATATTAAATTTATCAAAACAAAATATGTATGGTCTCTAGATTGTGTATTTTAGCCTTCTTGAGACGGTGGAAGTCTTTATACGAATTTCTTATGATTAAATTGTTGCAATAATTAGCCTGGATTTTATGTTGGTAGGTCGAATAAAGTAAACTACCCCGAGGTCAACTCTGTTTGGCTAAGACCAACTTTGGTTAGAATGACAGATGTAATTGGAATCTACTTATTGGGTACAAGGGACTATTTCACTGCCTATTTGCGCGTTAATGTTACTGTACCGTATAGAGTGTTCAAGAGGTGAAGTGGGTTGCTGACATTTTGATTGCGTTGACCTGCCTTGACCGCACTAGGTGTTTACAAACATGAAAAGTTCTTAAATGCGGTGGCATCCCACTTTTACTGGCCTTGACTACCTAAATTCATACAAGATGGTACGATTAGACAATGAGATGTGCATCTCTAAAACAAAATTTTGCAAAGAACTTGGCGGTTTCGTTCTGATTGACTTCTGTCCTTAAGCTTATTCAACTCTAAGACGCATTATATTGCGTCGCATAATTTCAGACCTATCAGAAAGATAATTTCAACTTTTCATGATCTATCCAAATGTTGTAATGTTAGTTATCAAATTTCGTAAAAGGTGATAACTTCATCTAATTACTGCAGTCCCCACTATATCAATACGTCAAGGGGTGTGCCACCCAATGGAGCTTATAATTAACAGATGGGAAAGAAGGGTGTACTTGGAGTTAAAGAAGTATGGCAATTTATGCACAAACAGCATAAATACTGAGGTTACAAAAATCCTTAACGTTGGCATCGATGACATAGCATTCATCTTATTTGCGAAATGGGAAGTTCCTTATTCGGTACTCGTAGGTACAAATTCAATGAATCAATTATACTGGTTAAACAGATCCAGATAAGGTTGCAAGAAATTAGGGTCTTCCACCCTACAGACTCTAGTATTCATTCATTGTTCTTTATTAGCACTTTATCACAAAAATTCTCTTACATTCATTAATGAATCAATTATCCCTTCTTTATAGAAATGCCCCAGGGTGGAAATTCCGGGCCCACTCCAAGCAGCGCGGATAATGGTGGTACAAAATTCGAGAAGATGGATCAAGATGAGGAAGAAGAGGGTTCAGAGGACGAACTAATGGAAGAAAGTGGAGAATTAGAGGTCCAGACAGAACATATCCCGACAATGACAAAAGGGGATAACCGAGACGAAGATGTAGAAGAGGTTAATCATCTCCAAGTACAGAGTCATCATCGACAAGGGCCAAATGCGTTCTCTGTCGCGTCTGTAGTGAGCGGCGGTACTGAATGCAAAGACGAAGGTGGTGAACCTGGGGCTGGCTCCTCATTAACTGGAGATGAGAATACAGGTGAAAGTGAAGAGGAAGAGGGATAGTTCCGATTTCTTTCTTGAAGGATTCTTCTTTTTCTTTAATGATGTGTATCTTATGGGTGCAATATTTTCTTCGCTCACAATCCTCGTGCACATTCGTCACTTTTTCTTGTTTTATTCTTTATATCTTTAATCGTTGAATATATTAAAGCGTATTTTTATTTCTTTTAACCCTTTTAAGCGAAGTAAAAATTTAGCCAAGGTGGAGCCTTTGGCCCATAACTGATATCAATGTGTTCATCTGCTTACAAACCATCCATCTTCGCCCCCTAAATTAGGTTGAAAAGGGTTACTTCTATTGGAAAACAATCAAATGTGATCGGCAAAGTTGTCTAATTTCGTGATTGTTATGAGTAGCTGCGCATTTATTTCTCATGGCTGGACGAAATATATGGAAACACCCAAGCGCATAGGTGGAGCACACCTGTGCACTCCCAATAAGTGAATTGGCCAGTCGTACTGGTTAAGTTTACGAAAAAAGGATTGCAGACTTCAAGTTATTCACCATGGGGGCTCAAGACGTGAGAAAGATTTTCATTGTCAGTGCTAAGTTTTAATAGCATCTGGTGAGAGTAGAACTAGATATTGCCTTTCTAGAACATAGGTTGATTACTTCTACAATCACACATTTTGCAAACCAGTTCACATGCGTGAAAGAAGGCATATACCAAAGTTCTGAAGCGTCGCTTCCATCGCTGAATTACATAGCTGACATTTTATAGAATCTGCTATTATCAACCGGTAGACTTGCCTTAAACACGCAAAGTTACTAGTGGGTAAATGCGGTGTTGAATGAGATCAATCTAGATGGTGCTTTGGCTGTCATATATTCTCGAAAGGTCACCGCGAGAATTCAATCGCAATCTCTTTTACTCCTGAGATATGCAAAGCTCTAAATAAAGGTTTTCATTAAACTAGTTTATGCTGCTCTAACTTGGAAATGTGTTCAGTTACAAAGCCATCGAGTGCTCTTGGAACAAAAGAAGTTGGAGGGAAGATCTTCACACAGATGCAGACTATTTTTAAACACACATTAAGTGTTTCTATTTGGAAATAATCGAGAAAAAGAGCAATTACACGGAGAGGGATCACATAATAGCCACTAACCCTTCGGGCTAGGTTGTAGCGGATTAGCTACCTCAATAACCTTGACTATTCTCAGTTTCTTCCAACTCGAAAGTCCCCGGGAATTAGCTAAGCTAAGACAAAGTTATAAAGGAAACAGACGTGTAGCACGGAATACGTTTATTCAGTACGAGTATTGCGGATAAAGTGCGTACACGCAGGGAGCTACTCATGATCAGGATGGGCTATTGATAGCAAAGTGCCATTTTGGCATAGCGATTAGTTATCAGATAAATCTAGCATAATTCGCGTGAACATTAATAGCTAAATATCTCTGAGTAGTGTTCTGGAGCAGGATTTCTATTGGTCATTGATGAAGTGTCCCACAGCATTTTTGACATAATAAACAGTTATTTTGTAATACTTTGGTAACTTATTGACGCTCTTCCTGAAAAAATACGGTTCAAAATGAAGTAAAATACTTGTCGTAGTGGTTCCCAGCTTCAGTTACACATGGATTTCTTTTTTCTCGTGAATTTGGCATCATTGGCCTGAAAGAGTATTAGGGGAATGGGGTGAGGTGTGACGAATATAGGGGGGATAAGGTAGAGTCCCCCTAGTTAACCGCTCAACTCTTGAGTGATCGCTCTTGCTTCCGCTGTAACTATTTACTCGGTTTCAGCAATTCCGAATGGTTTATCCCACGTTTCTAGAAATTGAACCTTAGCTTCAAGAAAGAGCATGGTTTGGAGACTATCATTGTGTCTCCGCTAATATTATCGCAAAAAAGCAATTCTTTCCTCCCTTACAACGATCTGGTCGTCAAATGACCAATTATTCATTGTCAAGATACAAAGGCAGGCACATGCCTATCAACTCGGATTTTTTATAGCCCCGGGGGAGATGGTGTGTCAGTACCTACATACTCCGACAACAAATCATCCCTTTCCATTGTCAAAATGAGAGTCTCAGAATTATTTCAGAAATCAAAAAGGAGAAAATCTGAAAGCAATAGTTGAGTAGTAGTTGGTGCAGAGCAGTGCTATAAGATCTAAAAGGTTGTCTTGACTACCTTCCAAATAAGACAAGCTAATTAAATAACCAGATCGATAGAAAGGAGGTTTAATCGAATTTCTGATTTCTAGTCGTCCAATTTAATTACATAGAGACCTTTCCAAGACTCTCTTCTCTATTATCGCGTTTTTGAAATCAATTTAAATTATTAAGGCTATTTAAATGCTTCTAATTTATCACGAACTCCCACACTGCCCCGAAGAACCATTTCGTCGTTTTAGACCTTTAAGAGATAGCGAGGTCGCATACCTCACTTCTTATTCAAAAGGTTCCGTTTACCATTGGGTTTTGCAATTGGAGAGAGACCAGACTTAGTCATTTCATTGGTGCTTGCAACAACATACATGGAGTTGTTTTGCACCAAACGTGGAGGCGAGGAGTGGCAAATGGTCTCGTGTGCAAAGTCAAAAGTCATGGGCTCTATGGTCATTGGTGCACACCCAGAGAACAAGATTGCCAACTACACTGATTGTGATTGGCTAATAAAGTGGAGTGGGGGGGGGGAGGGACAAAAGTGAAGGGGTAAACGTGAAAGCTCCCATTAAGGGCGCCGCAGCGTTGCCGTCAACCTGATCCAAGACAGGAGCTAGAAATGGGACATTCTTAATGGATTTGCA